CTGCAGACCCGGAAGGTGGAGGGGCTCCGGATCGCTGCCATTCTGTGGCTTCTGCTGCCAGTCTCCGGATGTACTGCTCGTTCACCGACAACAAGATGTTTTCCGGTTTAATGTCAGTGTGGATGATACGGCACTTGGTGTGTAAATAGTCCAGGCCCTGTAACACCTTAACGGAATAGATTAGTAGTCTTAGAAACACAAAATAAAAGTTTTTCTGGGGAAGAAATCACATTTCCCAAAAAACCAAATAAACGAAAATACAAAGAAACTTTCCCACAACGATTAATTATAAACTTCCAAGGCTCCCAAAGCTAATTCTATCTGGAGATATTCTCTAACTAGGTGTATCACAAAGACTGTGAATACATAAAACATACTCTTTAAATGCTCAAAGGTAGGAGAGGAAAGAGAACTAGGTATCTTTTAGTGCAAATTTCCTCACTGATAAAGACATAAAATCTCTTAGTTTCCCAGTGTGGATTTTTCTATGACGTATTATCCAAAATATTTGTCCCTTGAAATAATATTTTCCTGATAATAAACTGAATTCTATGTTTATCTAATGCTATTTAGAAAATGCTGACAAAAGACTGTATAAAGAAATGATACTCTAAGAAGAATATATGCAGTGTATTATTTGTTGAAACTGTACTTCCAGTTGGATTTGAAACTGTCTCATTGCTATCTGTTTATCAATAAAACTTTGAAGAAAAAAAAAAAGAAAGAAATGATACTAAGTTGACAAAGCAATTCTGTATCTCACATATATGTAAATACCCAATTTTCCAAAGTCAGGCACCTCACACAGCTTCTGCCTCTAGTAATTATTACAAGGAGATAAATCTGGGGCAATGTCATAATACTGAAACATTTAAAAACGGAAAGCACACAATATACCCTGTGGGCTGAATAAAAGTCTACTGGAAGTAGGAAACTCCTGATCCTTTAATATTAAAATGTCACCCGTAGCAAAGACAGATACATACTTGCTGGATAATTTTTTTGACACAAGGCAGCGGAAGCCCTTGATAGTTGGACTTGATGATCCACTTGAGCAGGTGATGCCCCAGAACTTCAAACACCATGCAGATATCTTGGAGGTCATTAAGGAAGCATAAAGACACACAAGAGAAAAGTGGGACAAGACAAGATGTGGACTCCAACTCAATGAAATCATCCTAGATCCTATGTTTCTATTAATATTCTAAAACTCTTAGGTCTAATACTGTAGGCAATGAAAGCATCCATACAACAGAAGACTGTGGGGAAGCTAGTTCACTGAAAAGATTATACACATTAAGGTAGAGATAAAAAGAAAAATGAAACCAGTACATGCATAGTACAAGCACTAGGGTCAAGCTGTTGATTAGACACAGGCTAAGAAATTTCTTCCCTCACGTCCAGGGTAGTAATTTCCATTCTCTTTGTCTCCAAGTAGGGGGGAAAAAAATCATCTTTTTTTTTTCCTGTCTTTTTGAGACAGGGTTACACTCTGAACTTCAGGCTGGCCTTGAACTCAACTTTGTAAAACAGAATGGCCTCAAAATGCGCAGGATCCTCCTGCCTTGGTTGGCCAAGCACTGAGATTAGCAGTCTTCTTTTGCAAAAGAGGACAATGCACAAAATGTCAACATTTCCCCACACCTTTTATGGTACAGGGATGGAACTTGGGGCCTCATGCACGTAGGTAAGTGCTCTCCCATTTAGCTATACTTCTAGTCACCAAATTTAAAAAAACCAGAAAACCGACTTGCTCTATGTGCTATAGTTCACTAGTGCCACCATGTGTTCTCTTTGTGCCTAAACATCCGGTCACACCGCAGCAGAACAACTACTCTGAGTGCAAAGGACTGCAGCGTTAGCTGTTTTGCTGTTATCTTCCACAGCAGAAGCATCTCCACACACTGGAAACTTAAGTGTTTATGTATACTAAGATGTACACAATGACCTACTGCCCAGATTTTTTAGTTACATAAAATTCATTACTAAACAAAAGCTGGAGCTCCTTAGAAAAATGTCTCTATCCAAGGCTAACTAGGCAGGGTGTGCTTGGAATATCTTGTTATGTCAACAAATAAGGACACAAGTCAAGAAGAACATGAGCCAGCTCAAAGAAAGGGCCTCTGGCCAAAGTAGGGAGCATTTTAAGGAGCGAACTTATGTGTCAACACACTAATTAGTGATTCCATACTGATGGCTCATAGGTATGAGGGAGGAGAAGAAATGCCTTCTTTAGAGAAGTCCAATCGTACAATAGAAAAGAAGTACAATATAAAGAGAAGTAACTTTGCACCCCTCAATGTTTTAAGCCTTCTGCTACCTCGACTTTCAGGGCCATGAGCCAGACATAGACTTTAATGTTCAAAAACAACTGCACATACGGGGAAATGACTCCTGCACACAAAAAAGCACACATTCTCTGAAAAGACCTGACAAGCACTTTGGTCTGGGTTAATTTCTCAGAGTCTATAACAACGGAAAGTAAGCTGGGTGAGGTGGTGTGATGGAGACCACTATGTAGTGGCTCTGAGCAGGATTTACACTAACCAATGGGCTTCTATGTTTACTTGTGAGTCTGTTCAAGGCATGGGCCCCTTGTCTGGAGATGGGCAATGGTTCCCTAGTAAGCGAACCTCTGTGAGTCACTGATCCCAACGGAGGCCTGCACTGCCTGTGTGAAGCCTGGCTGCCTGAAAGGACTACCTCAATTAACAAGAAGACTATAGCTGCAGGCATTTCACTCCTAGGTAGAAACCTTCCTAGAGATAAAGTAGTTTTCCTAAATTGACAAAATGTCTTACTTGCAGAAGCCCTTGAGCACACTTCCAAGATCCTTGGAAGGGCCTGCTCAGATTCCCCTGCTTTCTTCAATATTCCCCTCCTTTGACATAACTGAATAAATATGGTGGCCCAGAGAAGATCTTTGCCTTAATCCCAGAAAATGTCAAATTCTGTTAGAGGGTTCTGATGCTCCTGGAGCCCTAAAATCATACCACTTGACTCATTTATTTAAGCCTTCACTGTCCACTTGTTTGGGGGACAGAGGGCCTGATCAGTCCGAAATAACTAAGGGATAATATTAACAAGTTAGTGGTATATACCTGTAATCCCTGCACTCAGGAGGCTGAGGGAGAAGGATCACTTTGTTCAAGGCCAGCCTGGGTTACAAAGTAAATTCAAGGCCAGCCTGATCTGCATAATAAAATCCTGTCTCAAAATGACAAAAATCAAATCAATAAAAACCAAAAAGCATAACCAAAACAATAATAAAAACAGCAAACCCTGAGGAAGGAGCAGGATCTGGTTTCCAGTTATCATATTAAACCCAAACGCTGTTTTTAAAAACAAAATCTACAAGGAATACAAAGAAAGAGTGAAGTATAGTGCATTGAAAGAAAATGCATCAACAGAAACTGTTCCCAAAAAAGATCTGATGGCAAATCTACACAAAACTGTTAAAACAAATGTCCTAAAGATATTCAAAGAAAATGCGGACTAAGTCTAAAGAATAAAAACTAAAACCAACCCCCCCCCCCAAAAAAAATTCTGGAGCTGAATCTTTTCAGTACTACTGAAATGAAAAGTTCCTGTGATCCCAAAGCAGATAAAAAAACTTGGTGATTGGAGAGGCTGGGGAGATAGCTCAGTAGAATAGGTGTCTGCCTGGCAAGTGCAGGGTTCTGCGTTCAATCCCTGGGGACTGCGAGAGGAAAAAAAAATGAGACAGAGAGAGACAGAGAGACAGAGAGACAGACAGAGAGACAGACAGAGAGAGAGAGAGAGAGAGAGAGAGAGAGAGAGAGAGAGAGAGAGAGAAACAAAACTTCGTGATTGGAAAATGTAAGTGATGTGCTGAATCTGAGGAATAAACAGAAACAGATTAAGTGACTGACACAAAGAAAGAGCACAGGGCCTAAAGGAATGTTAGTGGACCAACACACAAAGTAGCAATCCCGGAAAAGACCCAAGAGGCAGAAAGAGTATCTGAAGAAATAATGGCTGAAACCAAGAGAAGTTTGACAAAAGACATGAATATAAACATTCAAGATGCTCAGTAAACTCTAAGATGACAGCAAGAAGACCCATGCCAAGACATATAATAATCAAACAAGAAAAAGACAATGGGCCTTGAAAACAGCGCGAGATCTGTCATAGGAAAGTAAGATCCTCAGCAGAAATGCCAGCAGATTACTCAGAAACTTTTTATGTTTCAAATTTACCTAAGGTTCCCCCCCAACAAAGACTGCTTTTAAAAAATAAATATAAGCTGGGCGTGGTGGCACACCCCTGTAATCCCAGCACTTGGGAAGCTGAGGCAGGAGGATTATTTTGTCTGAGACCAGCCTGGGCTACCAAGTGAGCTCAAAGCCAGCCTCTGGCCAGACTCTGTCTCAAAAAGACAAAAATTAAATAAATTAAACACAGAACTTTTAAGTATTTTTTTTTAATGTTTGTAGATGCACCTTAACTTTTATTTGTTGAGAAGTAAAATATTTTCTTTCACAAATATTTAAATTTGTAAGCAGTGATATAAAATGACATTTAATAGCATAAAAATAAAAAAGATCAATAGATTACCAGAAAAACTACAGGAGCCAAATGGCCTCGGGTCAAAGACGACAAAAGTCAGAAGACTAAATAATACCTGAAATTAACACATTAAAAAAAAAACAAACCTAGAGATCATATAAAGAAAACAAAGGGCTAAAAATGTTACTGAATAAGAGCGATACTTAGACTACATTATAAATAAGAGGAGCTTGCAAAAGAAATATCAATAGTAGAAAGCAACATAGCTGGGTGTGAAGGCGCACACCTGTAATCCCAGCACTTGGGAGGCTGAGGAAGGAGGACGAATCTCCAGTGAGAGTAGCCTGGCCTACCTGCATAGTGAGATCCTGACTAAACAAACTAATCTTGAACTTGAAATTCACTCTAAGTTCATGGTTAAAATAAAGTGGCTTAGGGTCAAAAGTGCCCAGCATTGAGAGGAAGAGTATATAGCATAATTATTTGTAATTTTCCTAGTAAAAAAGTCTGGCATAATGATAAACATTACAACTCAAATAGGAGACAGAATCTAATGGCTACTATGTCATTCTGTGCAGGCATTTCTTCTTTAGCTTTTTTACTACTCTGTACACATACAGAGTAAACCATCTGAGAAATGTCCACACCAGGTATAAGTGGGGCCGGGAAGGCAGCTCAGTGGAATAAGCGCTTCCCTGGCAAGCGCAAGGGCCTGAGTTCAATCCTCGGTTCCACCAAAAAAAGGAGATTCACCTTTCAAGATAGATATAACACTTTTCCTTAGCAAGCTGGAGTTTGTGATTTTTGTTTTGTTAAGGACATGACTTAGAACTTCAGAATAAATCTCACATTTATTTCCTTTCTCATACTTTTTGTCCCTCTATTCAAATTTCTTCCCATAGTCTCCACAAAACTATGGTCCTTATATCATACTCTTTAGAGGGGGAAGGGAATCCATGTCAATTACAAAGCAGTGTTAAGAGAGGCTAAAGAGGCATGGAAAGTAGGATAACATATAAAATGTCTTTCCTTATACATCTAAAAATAGTTTATGAATCAATTTTTTCTTTTTTATTTTGTGGAACCGGAGATTGAACCCAGGCCCTTGCACTTGCCAGGCAAGCCCTTACTCTACTGAGCCATCTCCCCAGCCCCTTTATTCTTTTTTTGAGACAGGGTCTTGCTATGCAGTTCAGGCTGGCCTCAAGCTGAACCCAGGCTGTTCTCAAACTCAAAGCAATCTTGCTTTCAGCCTCCAAATGCTGGGATTACAGGCATGCACCACCACATCCATTTTCATGAACAAATAATTTTAGATTCTCCAATCAAGCATCTGTGCAGAACACTGATAGTTGTGGAAAAAATGAACTGTGGTTCAAACATCCAACTCTAGAGGGCCAGAGAGATGGCTCAATGGGATGAGTGTTTCCCTGGCAAGTGCAAGGGCCTAAATTCAATCCCCGGTTCCGCCAAAAAACCCCCTAAAAAACATCCAACTCTAATAGTCCAAAAGTTCAGATTAAAAACATAAAACAAGCCAATTTTTTTCATTATGTTAAAATGTAAACAAGTAATTCCAGCATTCATGAGGTTGATGCAGAAGTATCACTGTCGAAGTCCAGCCAGCACCGTATAGAAAAACCTTGTCTCTAAAAAAAAGAAATAACATATGTGTGTATATATATAAAATCTAGATTGATAAGCCTCTTTGATATAAATACCAGGTGAAAACTAAAACTATATCCTAAGTTCTTCATTATTTTGTAAGGAAAAATTATTTTTCTTAAAATTTCTGTGCTGCCAGGTGTGATGAAGCAAGACTGCAACGCTAGGACTGAGAAGGCTGAAGCGGGAGGACTGCCTAAGTTTGAGGCCACCTTGGGCTACACAATGAGTTCAAGGCCAGGCTGAACTATAAGGAGACCATGTCTGGAAAAACAAAAACAAAAATAGAAAAATGTGCAACAAAAAAATTCCTGTGCTAATTGATAAAGTCCATAGAACCTGTATTAGTAATATAAAGATATTTTCTAAGAGTTTTTGATTTTACTTTAATTCACCTAAAAAGGGAATAAGGATAGGGGAACCTAAAGCAGTATCTTAAAAAAAGCATATCACACAAAATTCAGAAGTGCGGGCTGGAGAGCTGGCTCAGTGGAATAAGTGCTTCCCTGGCAAGCACAAGGGCCTGAGTTCAACCCCTGGTTCAAAAAAAAAAATTCAGACGCGTTCAGAAATGTGCAACAGGGCTGGAGAGACAGCTCAGCAAGTGCAGGCACTGGGGTTCAATCCCTGGCACCAAGGCTGTATAGTGCCTCCTGGTGCACTGAGTGGGCCACAGAGGCCAGGCAAGGTGGCACACGCTGTAATCCCAGTGCTGGGGAGGCTGAAAACAGGAGGATCACTACGAGTTCAAGCTGCATAGTGAGACCCTGTACCAAATACATCACAAGATCATTCTAGGCTACGCCACAGACTGTTCTATAAATTATATGTATTTCAAAGAATTGCTACAGTGACTGCTACTGAAGACATCTTAGAATGAAGGCAGCTTAAGTTAAAAAAAAAACAAAAAAACACATCAGAAATATGCAACAAAAGGTATGATGGTTGAGACGCCCACTTGAATAGAAACACCCACAACTTGGGGAGCCCAGGCAGGGTGTGTGTGAGTGACTGACATGTAAGACTTAGAGGAGGGAGGACTCACCCTAGATGTGGCTGGCACCAACCAACAGGCTTTTGGTCTGACCAAATAAAAAGCAAAGCAGCTGTACACTTGCTTCTCTAGAGGGGTTCTGGTCTTCCTCATCACCTCTGGACACCCAGCACAGACCTTTTGGCTTTCTAACAGAGCCCCATGCTCTGCCCTGAGCTCCAGGCTTTGGACTTTTGGTGCCTTAGCATGCGGACGGGCATTGTGCATGCTCCCAGCTGTGCTCTGCAGGTGCCTACTGTATTTACTTTGTAAATCCTTTAAATATCAAATCTGTCCCACCAATGAACCCTGACATAGAGGTAGTTTTTTTGTTTTGCTTTGTTTTTTGGCTTTATTAGTCTTCAAGTTCAATGTTATCTGTACAACGCTAGTTGATTTCCCTGGAATAAAGTGATTTCATGACTTATGAAAGATAAGTTCTCAAAAAGATACGTGTTCCATTAACTCCTGATATTTTAAAGTCATCTAGTAGTTGAACGACCATTTCTCTGTTTGGATCACTGGGGTCTGAATTGCGGACCTGTCAGGAAGAGAATATGGTAAAAGGAAAAGCACAGAAATAAGCCAAATGGTAATGGAAGACACCACACAGTAAACCAAGTCCAAGAAAGAACTTTTATAAATCTGCATACCAGACATCTAATTTAACCATTTCGCTACAAAGTGTGGCTTAGAAATTAACTGCTGGGGCTGGTGGGATGGCTCAGTGGTCTAAAGCACCTACTTAGAACAAGCTTGGCAAAGCACAAGGACCGCGGTTCAATCCCCCAGCACCACATGCCAGCCAGCGCTGCCCCCTGGTGGGCTGAGCTGGCCACACACACACACACACACACACACACACA